ATCTTCTATCCCTTTATTCACAAGATAAACTAGAAATTGTTATTAAATGTTCATTGATACTAGGTTGTTATCGAATGTAGAAAAGGCTGAAGAAAATCGTGAAGATACAATTGAATAAAAATATCAGCGAATATAAATAATAGAAAACAATATCCCTTTATTCGCAACATAAACTAGAGATTGTTATTAAATATTCGTCGACAGCGAGTCTTGATAATGAATCGCTGATCGATATTATACTCTAAACCACGAAATAAGACGTACACTGTCAACGAACGGAAATAATTTGTACAACGAGAGCGTTTTTGCTCTTTCCTTTCTCGATTCCTGCCAGCACTTTGCTTTATACACACACACACACACACACACACACACACACACACACACACACACACACACACACACACACACACACACACGTACAAAAGCAATCGCGCGTGATCTACGAGAAGACGTCTGTAAACTAATGTCACCGTCATTACTTAAGTTCCGCTTGCGTCGATTATCTTTCGATTAAAGACGCGGCGCAATCCGTTACCGTTGATTGAATCGTTTTTCAGAGCGATGCCGCTGCTAAATTGCTTGCTTCATCGCGTTCGGTATAATAGATGATGTACTTCGTTTCGTGCAACGGGACAGAACGTCCGATAGGCGAGTCATCATGTGACACATCTAGCTGGCACAGCGATCTACATAGGAAGAACATGACGTCCGCGTGAAAGACGATCATCGATGGGCGCCGACGGTAAATGCCCGAAGACAGATTTACACTTTCCCCATTCGACGTTGCCGTGAACACCTTAACACCGCGCGCGTTAACGTCGAGGAAATAGGTTCCTGTTGGAAAGAGACCGCGGCGGACCCGAGAACGCGACGCGCCGCGAACAGCTGTTAGAAATATATTATGCGGAAGATCAATAAAATCACTCTTGGGACTCCGCCGAACTCACGCACCCAACACGAAAATTCTTTCTCGTTCACGGAACGACTCCGTTGAACACCGGGTCCAGGTAGATCGAAATAAACGTCTGTTATGCTTATAAACACGCGCGTTATTTGGAGCCACCGGCAGGGATGTCGTCGAGAATGGACGGATGTAGAACGTCCGATACGTTTCGCATCAAAAAGACAATAATCTATTCTTTATTTAACGGCTTTTAATCTTGGCTTTTAATCCAGAAAAAAATTACATCCGCTGTCTTCGGGAACCTAGAACCAAGTTCTGACGACCGGTAAATCGGAACAACTTGGCTGTATATACGAGTGACGGGTTCTAAATCTTTTCAGCTGCTGAATTATGCAAGCTTATTCGGTGGATTCAATCTTGCATATTTTTTTACGCCTCGTACTTCTCTATTTTCAGAGACCGAGTCAGAAAATAGAAAATTGAGTGTACCTATTGTCGATGAAAATGAAAAGCAACGTGATAATCTCGAACTATTTTTAATTGTTTCGCCAAATATGTATTTTTCCCTAAATTAGTCTATTCTCAAGAGAATTGCACAGATTTAATACAATTAAATTGCTACAATTTAATACAACGCGTAGAATTAATTTAAGCTTTCAAAGCTCCGATATTGTTGCAAGGATCTTCCAATTTTAATAGGCTAGAATGGAAACTTCTTATAGATCGTGGTTACGGAATACTTACTATAATTTTATAGTAAGAAAAAGCTGTGAATACCGATATTTTATGATATTATTATATATAATTAACTAATATTATATAATATATATATTATATAATATTAGTATTATATTATTATATATATTAGTAATATATTATTATATATATTACTAAATTACTTATAATATATATTAATAATATTACATGATATTATTATTTATAATTATATTTATAATGCTCGGCAATAATTCACTGAATTATGCTCCGATCGACGCTTTCAGTGTCACGCCGGATATGTACGAATGACAGAATTTTTTAACCAACTTGAAAATAAACTCTCGTTACAGTCTATTATCGACAAAAGCAATGGCTATAATTCAATTTCGTGTTTCAAGCATTTATGACAAAGGCATGCAAAGGAAGTTGAAAGCAGTATAAAGGTTCGAAGAATTGAAGATTACCGATTATGCAGTAAATTCTCTCCAGTTGACCCTCGGCTTGGAAACAAAAGTGGTCAATTTGGGAAGAAGAGGTACGATTGTTCGGGCCTTGCGGTTCTTTTGCATAGTTCTCGACAATCGGTAGCCATAAAGACGAACCGCGCAAGGCTCGAACAATCGTATCCTCCTCTTCCCAAATTGGCCAATTGTCCCAATTTTTGTGTAGAAGCGAGGATCGATTAGGGAAAATTTACTGCACCGGTATCGCGTCATTTACCTTGACCAAAGTTACACCTTAGCTCGCATTGTGCACGAATAATCGGGAATGCGTAAAACGGAGTGAATCTAATTGTCATTAAATCCCCTTGGGCAAAAACGAGATACGTGCTACCGTTCCAGAATTAATATAATAATCTTCCGAGTAAAGGTTGGCTTACATTGTACAAACAATTTGTTTTTCGACCAGCAAATTGTCGATAAAATAAAATTGCGAAAGAATCGCAAGTCACGGGGTTAATTGACAGAACGATTAATACGTTCCGCCTCCTGTTATCGTTTTCCACGAACCGGCAATTCATTAAAAAATGATTATTAGTGCCATTAAGCGATTAGTTCGACCGTTATATCTGCGCGAATAAATGCGAGCCCGTCCGGTGACGAGCCGCTGGTAGCCGCGTATATTTCTCCGTAGATCCAATCACGGTGATATAACTCACGTGGTTAGATGTATCTACACGTAAATACTCTAGTTAGAGCGGACGAGTCGCTAATTGAGATTCAGCGATGCGCATAATGGTACCGAAATAACATGAATTCCAATCCGCGGAACGAGCCCGGAAGGCGAAATACGAGGAGACTATTCATCCCGACGGTTAAAATCACCGAATATTTCACTTTGCTGAGCCAGCTGAGCCTGCCACCGCCTGTCGTGGCACCCTGGCGATGGAAACGACGTACGCAGAGGGTAAAGCAAGTCTTCCCCCTCTGCACGGCTCTAAAAACCTTCAACCACCCACTCCGTTTCTCCACCCTGCCCTCCCCTCCCCCTCTTCGCCCCGCTCCGCCGCGTTTTTCTCTCGCCCTCCCGGCCGTGTCCCGTCTCACCCTCGCACCCCCACAGACCCCCGGCGTCCATGGTCCTCCTCTCCGTCCCCGGAACCCCGGGACCCCCGTCCCGCCACCTCCTTTTCCGCCTTCCGACACTAGGCTGCAGATTTATGCGCCCCGCCTTGCAGCGTTGATATCCGAGAACTCGCGACCTGCTCCGTCCGTAATGAAAGAAATAAATTTACTCTCCTGGGTGCCCCGGGGATTGAGACTCTCGCCGTTCGTGCGCGCACACGGACGCCGCGAGAGCACCCTCCCGGTGGCGCGAATCAAAACTATACGCGGTACGTACGATCGTGCCGCACTTCCGACTCTCGTTCCGAGACCGACGGATCATCCTCGCTTTTTCCTACGCTTTCTATTTGTATCGGCCGCTTGCGAGGCTCAACGGCGAACCTAAACGCCCGGGCGACTCCGATCGACTCCGCGAAGATCAAAGACAGCGTACAAGTGAATTTTCGTTGGAAACCGAGACGTTTCTGAAACCGTGTTACCGCAGCGTCGGGACACCCGTTCGCGAAACGAGCGCGGACGCGGCGAGAACCCGACGGTATTTCTTCGAGAAAGCAGTAGTATGAATTAGGCGTGATCCGATCGTGCACAGAAATACTTCTCGATTTTTGAAAACTATGATTCGTATCGTTTTTTTGTGCTGTTGCGACAGTACGCCAGATATCCGCGAGGGAAAATGCTATTTGAGCCGTTTATTTTGGAGGTGGCATAAGTCACTTTACCGTAATGAAAAGTGGTGATTTTTTCATGTTTATACGAAATTATTTATACTGAGATATATCAATATATATTTTATTATCAATAGATATGTCAATATATATTATATTATCAATAGATATATCAATATATATTTTATTATCAATAGATATATCAATATATATTATATTATCGATAGATATATCAATACATACAGTATCCTGAGATAACAAATAAAGGTAAATCTTCTCGAAAGTTAGCATCCATATTTTGAAACGTGTTCAAACGCAAACCCTTAAATATATCGACTTAAAAACAAAGTGACTTATGCCACTTTCAAAATGAACGGCTCATTTGTGCAGGAATCGCGTCGAATGAGGGATCTCGATTGTCGATAATTTGCAGTTAACGCTTCGGGCGTGTGTGTCCTTTCGAATTGCAGATTGCAAGTGGTAATAAAATATTTGAAGCGCGAGGACGTCGAAGCGGCGCGTACTGATAGAGTTCGAACGCTAAAGACATCGAGAAGAAGCATCGATCGATGACTAATTCTTAAAGTTTAATTTACGACTTTCCTTATCTCGAGCTGTCAGAACCGTCACCGAGATGTTAACTGCACAGGTAGAACAGATAGCGGCGTACCGAGAAACGTGATTTTTTTTTATGCAATTGTCTGTGACAGCGTACAATTTGTCAATTGTGCGTCGATACTTGATACTTTTCGTAGGAATTCCTGCTAAATAATTCGCTTGCTTTTACCGTCGATAATTAGAATCTGAAAAAAATTAAGAATCGAATGCAACTACAACAAAAATTGATATTAATGGACCCGCGCTTCTACACACACAAATTTCAATGAATATAAAACACGATTCGTATCAGCATTCGATATATTCTGATCGAGTTTTGATTTCGATAACAAATACGGTTCGGCCAAAATTATACGAACACTTTTCGAACCTATGGACAATTTTATTGTTAATTCGGATCGCGTTCACATGCCCCCGTAGTTTAGGAAAGCCGTAATTGTCGCGAGATCAACGAAATTTCTTCGAAAACAGAGAAAGCGAATTTTACGGCGACCGGGTGACTAGGAAAATATTGGTAAAAAACACATATTTAATGATTCCACAAACATTGTTTTTATTAAAGCGGTATGGAAACTCAACGATATTTACAAGAGATATTTACAGTGCAAATAATATGTATCGTACATTACGGTTCCTTCCATCAGAATACTTTACATGGTAGACACAATGTAATCCGACGAGCACCTGAACGAATTTTGAAAATGCTGAGATATTCCGTTCGCAACGATCGTATTTCCAAAAATCCGAGAATCGATCTGCGCACTTCTTTTTTTTTTTTGTTTCGCCCGCGTTCGAACAGATTTCTATCTCCTGCTCCCTCTCCGTTATACAAACGATGCGAATAAGTTAGACGTTAATATTTTGCCGCAGAGATAGGTTTAGATACCATTGTTAATATTATTCCTTATTCTTTCATCGAAAAAATAGCGTAATATCACAGTTATATCATGGACATAGAACATGCACAACCGTCGGGTACGCGCTCGCGAACGCAATTGGCATATACCGGGTGTGGAGAGGACGCGGTTACACAAACGATATCGCGCGCGATTCTCTTCCGAGAACGCGATCGTTGCCGTTTCGAAAATAGCATGGACGCATCACTTGATGAAACACAATTGGAAAACGCGGTATCGAGCAGCCCGAGAAAACGAAAAGGAGCACAGACGATTTTCCACGGAGCGAGTCAACTTCCTTTTTCACGACCGCGCGAGAAACGTTTACACACGATGATGATGACGATGATGACGATGACGATGATGATGCATGCCGCGTCAAAAAATATTTCTATCGTTCGAAACCAGCCGGAAATGTTCTTTTATCTCTGCGGTGTACATGTTCTTCCCTAGAGTAATAATCAAATGTTGTGAGATACACGTTCGATAATATAGGATTTCTGTAAAGAATAAGTTTTCGCGATGAAACAAACTGTCGAGATATATCTTTATAAATTTTAATCATAATTCTGAATTTATACACACATATGTATAGATATATATTTATATATATTTATATATATATATTTTTTTAAATAAATTTATATTACACACGTTTCATTATTTACACAACAGTCTGACCGCGTCGCAGTTTTCTCGAAGGGTGTCTCTCTCTCTCTCTTCTATTATACACTATACCGTGGGCTGTACACATTGTTCGTTTCAAAAACACCGAGGTATCCTCTTTATGGATGTACAGCGGCACCGATCCGCTGCCCGTAGATCGCGTACGGCGAGTAATAGGGTCCTAACGCGTTGAAAGCGCTGTAAGGCGACGCGGCGAGCGACGCTGGCAAAGGTCCCGTCGGCGGCTTCCCGTACGGATGGTATCTAGCGCTGAGCGGGCTCAAAGATGGCGTCGGATAGGAGCCGCCGCTCGCGCGATGGAGTGCCGCGGATGGCGAGAGCAGGGGATGCGGATGCGGATTGCTGAGAAGCGCGGCGGAGGAAGCGTGGTCGCCGCCGGTCAGGCTGGTGTGGCTGCGGAGATGTTGCAGAAGCTCCTCGGAGGTGGTGAATCTCTTTCCGCAATAGGAGTCGCCGGCGATCCAATTGCAGACGTACGGCCTGCCGCCGGTCAAGGTGGATGGATACGACAGGGACGGCGGTGCCATGGGGCCCAGCGACGACAACGCCATCGCCAGCCCGTACTTTTGATGATCGCACTGCGTGCATCCGCTGGGGCAGGTACCGGTGCCCATCATTAGCTGTGCGCTGTGCATACTGTACTGGCAGCCGGTGCAGTAAGGGTCCTTGCAAACCGGCACCAGCGCCTCGCCGCCGGCCGGAGTCTTGACGCGAGCGTAGCTCAAATACGGATTGCCGCCCGTCGGCGTGGCCGACGGATAGCCCAAAAGAGCGGCCGCGGCGGCATGGTGATGCGAGAACGGAGACGCGCCGGCGAACGGCGGTCTGAACGCCGGGTTCTCTGCGAGACCGGGCGGACAGCAAAGCGGATTGCCGGAAAATCCGGGCAGGCTGGTCTTGTACGCGGCCAAGTTCGAGTCCTTCGCGTGAGCGCCGGATAGAATCTCCATTCCGGATCTGATGATCGGGCTGGTTCCGCTGTTGTTCCGCGGCGATCCGTCGGTCTTCTCGCGGTCCGCCGGCGTTTTCCTGTCGGCCGACGGTGTGCTGGTCGTGGTCGCCGTCGCTTGGCTCGCCGGCGACACGGACTTCCGTCCGACGGGGGTGCGATTGCCGGACGACTTTTTCTCGGAGTGCCCGTTGTCACACACACTCACACTATCCTGACCACTAACACTGTGAACACTGGCCTTGGACGCCGGCCTGCCCTCGTCGGTCGATTTCTTCGACACGACGTTCGTCTCGTACGGCTTGAAAGCCAGCGACTTCCCATCCGACGGGCTGCTGCGGGTATTCCGTTCCAATTTCGCAGCCGGCGGCGATTTCGCATTTGTCCCGGCGCTCATGCCCTTCGGGGTTTTATCCAGCGGAGAGATCAACGGCTTCGTCGGTGAATCAGCCCCGATTTGACTGCATGTCTGCGCCAATAAAGCTAAGGGACTTTTCTTCGCATCCAACTGTAACAGAAAAGCAAACGATCTGTTACGGAAAGGGAAACGAACGCTTGCGTACGATCGAAAAGATCGTTCGAGACGACCGTGCTCGATTTGTTCGAAGATACGTGCGAACGCGAGCGAGCGTACAGCAACCCGTCGGAGAGCGCGCGCCGTCGGAGAACGACCAACTGGCGAGATACAGTAGAATGTCTCCCGTATTGACGCTTTAAATGCGCACAAAAATGGACAATTTGGGCAGAGGAGACGACGCGATTGATTCGCCTCGTTTGATTCGCCTTGCCTCGTTTTTTTTGATTCGCCTTGCCTTGCGCCTCGTTTTATAATTACGAATTATCAATAATTATGAGAACGAGCTGCGAGGCTCGAATTAATCGTATCCCCTCTTCCCAAATTGTCCACTTTCGTGCGCAATCTGAGCGTCAATAAGGGAGACATTACTATACTCTGTGCAAATATTGGAGCTGAAATGTTCGAACTACGCTTGCAAATGTAAGTATCGTTTTATTTCGAATAAACTTTTGGTTGATCTAAAGGAAATCTCAGTGCTCGTCCTCGCGAAACACGCTCGATGGCAAAAATAAGGTTTCCAAAATGGAGCTACGTATGCTTAACGACAACGTGTACTAACCGTGGTTGGAAGCGGAGAAAGGTAATCCGGTTGTAGGTACTGATTATGTCCAGTAGTCAGCATACCGCCTTCCTCAAGGACAACCATTTGGTTTTGCACTTATTTGGCGAATCACTGCACGAAACCACAGATGTATTCTCACAGATCACAAAAAAAAGGGGTTCGTGTAAACCGTGTGTTGCGGGAACGCAGCGAACGTGTGTCGACGGCCACGGTCCTCTCGGTGTGTTGCGTACTGGTGTTCGATCGATCCTTACGTAGCGCGAAGCGATTAAACCGAAACGACGTACACCGAGTGAAATCCAGGAAAATAGTGGTAGCTCTCGGCGGAGCTGTTCGGAGCACGGAGTGGAATGCGACCGCAACGCCGCCTGGCGACACGGCACGCTCTCTTCCCCTCCCTGTTCGACAAGCCGGGGTGTATAACCTGTCCTCTCCTGTCATCCCCACCATTCTCTGGTCGGAGGATTATGGTGGGAGAATTGCGGTGGGGTTTGGCCCTGTGTGGGGTGTGGGAAGGCATTCTAATTCAACACGCCACCCATGATGTTGGCCCGACGATGACAGCTCCCATCCCGGCTTTGATATTTCACCGCTTTTACAGCCGTCCATCCCCTCTCCCTTCCCCACCTCTCCTTCCCTCTCCCTCTCCCCCTCGCTCTCTCTCTCTCTCCTCTCCCTCTCCCTCTCTCTCTCTCTCTCTCTTTATCCCTCGCTCGCCTCTCTCTCCCCTTCTAACTCTATCTCTATCTCTTCCCTTCCCTTCTCCTCTTTCGTTCCCTTACTCGCCGCACCATCCCCCGTCGCCGTTCGCCTACCATAGCTACCTCGACATGGAACCGTCCCTGCCACCACAGCAACCCGATATTTTATACCGTGAAACCTGTCTGTCTCTCCGACCGGCCTCGCTTAATAAGCAGCTTTCAAAATAGAAATGTAATGGGCCGGTGGGGAAGGGAATGTCGGGTGATTGATTGCTCGCTCAGCGACTTACCGACTTGCCACAGCCCACGGGATAACGAATGACAGCCACTTAAGCGCTGTTTGCCTACAATTTTGTAAAAGCGTTTTAATTATCGCCTCGACCGCACCTCGACTTTGTCGCGCATTAAGTCACCGGATACTGAACGTTCCGAGCGACTGATCTCCGCTGACTTCCTTGTTATTTTAACCTGTTCGCAGGAGAAGACGACCTGTTGGTTGGTTAACCAGTCGTTTACAGCTGCACCGCGTTCTTCGATCGATGCCACCCTTCCTCGTTTCATCGGGACGAACCTATCCGGAGTCTGGAATCGAAGATTACAACGACCATCTTCGGATTGTGCATTTTCGCCGATGATCGTCGAAGTGATTTTGTAAGTAAGAGCAATTCTTGTATCGTTCATTCGGCAGCGTTGTTGCAAAATGGGGTGGGACCGGACAACGAAGCAGGATTGATTTCGTTCCGAATGGTACAGTAATGTCTCCCTAATTGACGCTCAGATTGTCCAGAAAAATGGACAATTTTGGAAAAGGAGATACGATTGTTCCAGCCTTGTGGCTCGTTTGTTATGATTATGGATTGTCAACAAATATAAAAAAGAGCTGCAAGGCTCGAATAATCGTATCCCCTCTTCCCGAATTGTCCATTTTTGTCAATTAGGGAGACATTACTGTAGAACGCTGACTACAGTAAATTTTCCCTAATTTTCTATCGGCTTGAAAACAAAAATAGACCATTTGGGAAGAGGAGATTCGATTATTCGAGTCTTGCACCTTATTTTTACAATTGTCGACGATCGGCAGCTATAAAAATGAGTCGCGAGGCTCGAATAATCGTGTCTCCTCTTTCCGAATTGTCCATTTTTGTCAATTAGGGAGACATTACTGTAGAACGCTGACTACAGTCAATTTTCTCTAATTTTCCATCGGCTTGAAAACAAAAATAGACAATTTGGGAAGAGGAGATTCGATTTTTCGAGTCTTGCACCTTATCTTTACAATTGTCAACGACCGGCAGCTATAAAAATGAGCCGCGAGGCTCGAATAATCGCGTCTCTTCTTCTCGAATTCTCCATTCTTGTGCACAATCTGAACGTCAATTAGAGAGACATTACTATAGAACGCTGACCACAGTAAATTTTTCCTAATTTTCCATCAGCTTAAAAACAAAACTGGACAATTTAGGAAGAGGAGATTCGATTATTCGAGTCTTGCACCTCGTTTTTAGAATTATTAACGATCGGCAGCTATAAAAATGAGCCGCGAGGCTCGACTAATCGTGCCTCTTCTTCCCGAATTCTCCATGTTTGTTTACAAGCTGAAGGGAAATCGGAGAGAAATTTACCGTATCGTGGAAACGAAAATGTTCAACGTCGATTACGAGGAGTAGACGTAGAAGGAAACGACGGCGCGTGATTGTTTGAACAATTTCTCGGAGTACATAGTTCCGTTGTTGGCCTGTGTACGCAACTGTAAAATGAGAAATCAGCGATGGATCGTTCTGATCTGTCAGCCAGCCAGTATTGTTAGCGATTCGCGTTATAGCCTTTCGGTAATAACTTGTAACATAAATCAGCTTTCAAAAGTCACGCGATGGAATGTAATTTCTTTTATCGCGATCGGCTCGTCACGTTACTCGGAAAGGAAGAAAAATATCTCTCCCCCCACCCCCACCCCCTGTGACTATTACAAATTACTTTCGCAACGATCATTGCGAAAAACTATTTATATAAAGTCCCGGAAATAATTATGCATCGAAGGCATACGTCTGCTGCGCGTTCGGAGTTACGCATCGCGGCTCTGTTGCACTCGCGGGCAGAGCGTGCGCGGCCATTAAAAAAGCTTGAATATCAGCCGCGTTGAAATTCAAACGTTCCGCGCGGTTAGCAAAATTACGGTCGTTTCACTTGTTGGTACGACTTCAGCGCGATAAAGCGATCGATGAAGTAGCTATGTTAAAGGGCAATTACAACGAATTATGACAATATCCGCGCGCCGAGTATGTAGACCACATACCTGCGAGAAGGGATAATTAGATTGTGAAACACACCGCGTTAGAATATAACCCCGTATAGGAAGCCAAGATACACGTACGTACCTGCACGTACGTACGCGTAATGGCACGTCGATTGTCGTTTTAATTGAAATTTACACCGTATTTGGAGTTTTCAGATGCTATCGCCGAGAGTCGTTTACGAAAAAAAATACAGTTATCTTATTAGCTTTGCTCGCGTTGTTGCAATCGCAGTGATTTTTTATTCGCAACAGAATCGCCGACCAGTGTGTACCCTCCGTTTTCTCCTTCATCATTGTTTCGTTACATAAACGTCACGATAATTATTTTTCGACATGTTCGCCGCCAGCATCACGTATTTTTGCGATAACTGCTATCGCGTATTGCGTGCGTTGATACCTAAACTCATAACATGCGATCGTAATGTTCGAAAGATCGATCGGTTACAGTAGCTGTACGTACATATTTCTTTTCGCTAATCTGTATACGTTGCATTTAATCGAGATAACGCGAGCCGCGGGGACGATTCTTGGAACCAAACGAACCGTTCGATTCGTTGAAAGCGTTGAACGTTCGGTCGAAGATTCTTTCGACGATCGTAGTACTTCTATTTATGTCTATAAGACGCGTTAGATATTATTATTGAATAAAATTAGAATTATTTAAGAGAGAAACAACATTGCACGTTGGCTCCTACGTCTTGCAATCGATGCGGGCAACTTTTATTTCGCATAAGGATCCACAGTCTGCTGATAACAGTTACGAGATCTTTTCTGTTCTTCGTGACTGGTCCAGTCAGGACCGAAATACAGTAATGTCTCCCTAACTGACGCTCAGGTCGCGCACAAAAATGGACAGTTTAGGAAGAGATGCGATTATTCGGGCCTTGCAGGTCGTTTTTATATTTCTTGACAATTTGTAACTAAGTAACTAATAACAGAGGTTATGTCAACGTACGTTTATTTATTATACAGTAATGTCCCTCTGATTGTCGCCCAAATTGCGCACTAAAATAGACAATTTGGGAAGAGGAGATACGATTATTCGAAGCCTCGCAGCTCGTTTTTATATTTCTTGACAATTCGTAACTGAGTAACTAATAACAGAGGTTATGTCAACGTACGTTTATTTATTATAGAGTAATGTCTCCCGAATTGTCGCCCAAATTGCGCACTAAAATAGACAATTTGGGAAGAGGAAACGCGATTATTCGAGCCTTGCAGCTCGTTTTTTATAATTACCGATTCCCAATAACGATAAAAAACGAGCCACAAAGCTCGAATAATCGCATCTTCCCAAATTGTCCATTTTCGTGGACAATCCGAGCGTCAATTAGAGAGACATCACCGTAGAGTTGCATACATAACTCTCGTTCGGATATTTCTCGGCAACGGCGCTGTTTCCAATCGATTACGACCACGTTCTTGTTATTTAACGCGATTATTATAAGGCGAAAAAGCAAAAGTGGCAAATACGGAGTTTAATTTATGGTTCTTATCGAGCCGCGTTGAAACGGGGTAAACTTGAACCGCCGCGCGATTTATCAACGGCGAAGCTCATTCTAAAAAGCGAATTACTCATTCGGTAGCAATAATCGACCGTATATCAAACGAACGGCCGATGATTTACGTTTATATTTTTAATGAACATCTACGCGTTATTTACGACGCCGGCGAAGATGCGACACGAAATCGATAAACCTCCTGTCCGCGTCGAATAGCCGTTTTCAGCTAAACAGTCGCGGAAACAGGGTTATATTAAATCTCTCTCTCTCTCTCTCTCTCTCTCTCTCTCTTTCTATCCCGTAATATTTCCCAGAAGAAATAATGCGCTCCGTCGGGGTTCGGCTTCCATAGAATATCTGTGTTTTTCTTCTCTTTTTTTTTCTCTTCTCTCCTTCGGCTCTATCTCCCTCTCGCGCTGCTGCCGCCGCCCGTCCGCCTGTGTTTCTGTGAAGTTATGGCGCCGTTAATACCCCAATGGCAAGTCTTTGACGTTTTGACGCTGACGGATGAGTTTACGGCTAATATAGTTCTCTTTCATCTCTGCCGCTCGGGCTCCTTCGGCCCCCGCGTTTCGGAAATTTCAAGACGACAGCTACCAGCCGGGTAACGATTCGGCTTTGATGTGCTATCGACGGCTGTAGCCGGCATAAACAACATTTACTACACTGTCACGCGGAATATTGAAAAACGAAACAGACGCCCCCGTCGGCGCCGTTTCGCGCGTGAATCGATCGCCGCGAATCGTTAATTAGTTTTTCAGAGGGAAAAGAAACGCGTGTCGCTGGCGCTAACTTAATATGTACCCCTCGCGGATAAGACGACGTCGCGCGGACGGTTCCGACGATTCGATCGGGCTTTCTGGATAAGAAAAAGTCGTAAATAAATAATTATTAAGCCCCGGTGTCAATCGATGCCGCGGCCGGCGGTTGCCTCGACGTCCGCTTCTTTCCTGCTCGATTTTCTATTAAGCTTCGCGCTCCGCGCGCGTATTTTTACGACCGATCCGAATCTAATTTGTTGCTGACCAGCGCTCGGCCGCGGCTCTTCTAAACGTGTTAACACGCTCGGGGTTGGCTCCGACAGCCGTAGCTCAGCCCCGCGATAACGAAACTCATAAATAAAATTCTAAGAGTCGGTATCGATTGATGCTGTGGCGCTCGCTTTGATGTCTCGGAGATCCCCGAGCACACGGTTTCGACACGCGGCGCCTTTCTGAAACTTCCAGTTTGACATTTTTACGACGACGCTTCGAATCCGACACTTACGCGCTGCCGAACGGGGCGGCGTCGCTCCCTCGAAGTCTATTAATTATCGCGCGCGGAAAGAAAATTGCCGAACGCGTTATTCAATGCGGACGCATAAATTTCGTTCGCAGCACGTTGCCGGTCCGCGCTTTTATTTTCGTAAGCACTGTTGCACGCAGCGTTTGTCGCGTTATTGTGCAACGTAATGCCTGCTCGAAGTACGACAAACGTTCGGGCCGTTTCATCTGTCGTCGAAGAGAGCCGGAGATTGATTTATTTATTATGAATTACGAGAGTACAGAGATGACAAATTTACTGCTCGGACCTATTGTCTAATTACCTAGGCTGAGCAACTGGGCCGTAAAGTTTATTGTATTTGTTACTGCACTTGACCACTCACCCTCGTCGCTTCCGCACCGAAAATAATTCAGTTTCCTTCCTTCGAGCGGGGCACAAAGGGATCCTCGCGAGGAACTCTTAGTCGGCGTGTTATCCGTAAAATCTGTCGGCAATAGGTAATGCGATAAATAAGGTAGTAGACAGAACCCCCTAGCAGCGGCGTATCGCGTCCTGCAGCAGTTGTTGTGACAGGGTAATAATGTTTCGGGCCA